GCCATTTGCGTTTGTTCCAAAAAAACATGCTCAAGCACACTTTTTTCCCCAGAATCCGCTGCCTTTGTTGTCACTTGCGTTGACCCTTTAAAAGTTGCAGTACTGAACATAATATTTTTCATGTAATTATTTGGACATCAATGTTTTATAAATGTATTTATTTATTTATGTTTTTTTTATTTTAGTAGAGAACCAAGTCTTTAAGATGCTGGTACAGCTTACCAGGCCTAAAAAGGTCATTCAGCTTTGCAGCCTCTCCTTTGACAGTATAGGCATCATGCTTGACTGTTTACCCGATGATGGTTGCCTGGTCAATTTCGAATCTGAACATTCTCCGTACAAATGTTTTGCTCACGATAAAAAAATACATAAACGAAAAGGAAGAAAAGAGGACATTTTGAAGGTAATCATATCGTTTAAATATTTATTGAATATATTGAAATGTATATAGAATTGCTTTAAACCTCATACAGAATCATACAGAGGGAAGTGGAGGAAGAGATGGAGGAACATTTGCTTTCTCTGACTCTCTTGTAAAAATGTTTAGCTTAAAACATGCAGGGCAAAAGGTGCAGCTGCCGTGGGCCCCATAATTCACAGGGGCCCACAGCGGCTGTCCCTTTCATCCGCAACGGCAGGCAGTTGCAGCGACCTCATCGATGGCAGAGGTGGACTGGGCTGGGAAACTGCTGGCATGCCAGGACCAACGCTAGCTTAGCTAGCTGCCTGAGAGCGCCGGGGTGGGGCGGTAATTGGCAGGCTGTAAAGAGGAGCAGCCGAGCGGCCGGAGCTGTGTTCATCTCTGCCTGTTGTCTGCAGATCCAGAGAGCGGAGCGCCCGGCCGACAGAGGATGATGATGTTGCTGCTGCTGGGAAAGCAAAAGGAAGCTCGGCTTGGGGGGTGGGGAGGACGATGTTGGTAGTCCTGAGTGTACTGTGTTGCATAGTCCTGCGTTTATTAGTTTACAGAGTCATTTTCTTGGGACCCCTCCCCCCACCATGCAATTTGGCTCTCCACCCCCACAGGAAGAGGTGACCCCGCGTGAGACATCACGTGGCGTTCGGCAGGGGTGAAGCAACACTATGAAATACCGATCGATCGCATAGTTAACAAGACGGTGCTGCATGTATATATTTTGTGGACTCAAGGGGCAGCTGCTTTGGGCCCCACAACAATGACTGGGCCCTGGGCAATTGCCCCACGTTAAAGACGGCCCTGGTCCTGCGTTTATTATATTACAGAGTCCTGCATTTATTGTGTTGCACAATCCTTTGATTATTGCATTACAGAGTCCTGCGTTTATTGTGTTACAGAGTCCTGCATTTATTACACTGCACAGTCCTGCGTGTGTTACATTATAGAGGCGTGTGTTTATTGCATTGCACAGTCCTATGTTTATTACATTACAGAGTCCTGAGTTCATTGTGTTATTGCATTGAGCCTTTCATATAGATATTAAAATATGTATTATTTGTTTTTTTCTTTTCGGGGGACAGTGATGTAGGTGGATACGGGGCTCCGAGATGGGAAGTGGGGGGGGCAGGTGATGGAGGTGGGAGGGTTACGTGGGCCCATCTCTCTCTCTCTCTCTTTCATTCACAGTTTTTTCAATTATGGTGGCTAAGTATCACATGTGGCCGTTACCTAGATCAGTTTGTATGCAAGTGCAGCTTGTCTAGGAATGCCCACTCCTCCAGACTGACATCCATCCATTAAGACATTTTGATATTTCCATAACTCCTCCCGAGAGGCAACCCACTGCTTGTATTAGGGCTAAGGGCTCTTAAGAGAAATATTAAGGCAGGATGCTGGGATGTCTTCAGCAAGCTATATACAGCATCCTGCCAGTCCCTCCCACCAGCCATGACATCACTGGGTCTAAAATAAGGTATGCAATTGAAATGGAAAGGTTTTATTTTAAAACATTTAATTTAGAAAGCCGTGCATGACTGATTTGTCGCTTGAAGGGGAGGGGGTGGTGGCGGACACCAGACCATGCTGTCAGCAGCTCTGTCCAATGTCCCACCCAGCTCACTCATGTCACTGACTGCCATGAGCTAGTTGGCACGCAAGCCAGTGCGTTAACGCTCAGCTCCTGGCAACTGGTGATGTCAGTGAGTTGGGAGGAAAGGCAACCTGCACATAGCATCACAGGTTGCTATGAACTCTTAGCAACTTGGGATGCTGTGGCCAACCCCCTGCCACTGACCCTCACCGCCCGGCCGCTCCACAAAGAGATGCCGCCTGGGGCAACCACCTCAGGCTGTCTCATTGTAGGAACGACCCTATACATAATAGAATCATTCTTTTTTACCAGTAACAACATACATGTACTTTGAGTTATACGTTGTTGGCATATATAACTAGGAGTCCTGTGCCACCTACTGCATGGTGCACTAATGCGCTTATTTTATGTACATAAAATATATGAAACCTTTCCAATTATATGGTGCAGAAATTGCAACATTCATGCCGCCAATAGGGATTGCTCAATTTCTCAAAAAGAAAGTTTTGAAGTGACCCTCCTGCTGCACATTATTTCTCTTGCCATCTTGTAAGACACTACAGGAGGCAGAAGCCATTGGGAGCAACTATAGCATGTGACGGGAGAGGAAAAGAGGGAAAAACTGGTGACAGTAACAGCTTCTTTTTTGATGTTTTGTTTGTGTTCCTCTTGGCTGGATTTCCTCGCAATCCCTGTGTAGTCAGGGAACACTACACTGTATCTGACCCTTTACTTAAGTACCTGAAATTAAAGGGCATTGGTTGGAATTCTGTTTTAGGTCAACAAAATGTACATGTCTGAAAAAAATAGAGTGAAGTAGATTTATTGAACACCAGTGTTCAGTCAAGTTAACAAAATAAGATTTCTCCTTTCTTAGTCTTTATCAAGCGTACTCTATACCCCACGCACCATAAAATCAGTCCATGCCTAAATCCCATCATGCATTGTTTCCCCCTCTGATCAGTCATCTGTGCCAAGCTCCTCACTAAAACCGCTGGGCTGTCTCCGACAGGAAGAAAATGAATCAATTGCCTACAGAGGATATTAAATGATGGTGTCACTTTCCTCAACGCCGTTAGTTACAAACCTTTTATCCACATAATTATTCTTCCCATTATCTCTCTCCTGGGTATAGCAATTGTCTCCTCTTCTGTTGATTGTGATTAGTCAGTTGAGATGTTGAGATCAGCGCCAACACTGAAGACAATGCAATAAGAACAGTTTCATTTTTATTCTCGTTTTTTTTCAATTTTTAAGGCTTTCAAGGGTCTGACCACCCAAAACATATATTTTTGGTTGTTGGTGGACACAACGCAGTTGAGTCTCTTAATGGCTTCTTCTATCTTGACTCTGCTCTCTTTCACCTAATCTCATTCACTATTCAGCTGCTGCTCTTCCTTCTTGCATCTATCCTGAACCAAAATATTTATTTTGGATTTACCCCGCAGCTCTGAAGGGATACACTACTAGTGACGTAGCAGCCACGTAGGGGGAGAAAAACGAGGGGTCACAGTCAGCAGTGGGGAGATGCAGGTATCCAAACCACTTGAAGTGTAAGTGTCCCTTCTATTCCTGCATGGTAGGTAAAGTTGAACTTAACAGATGCCCCATTGGTAACTATTATACATGCATTTTATAAAGCATGCTTATAGCTAATGACAGCGTACAAACCAACTGCAAGCAAAAGTTTTTATTCTGTTGGTGGGGAATGTTTAGTTCAATATATTAAAAAAGAGAAGATTAGGACACTATAAGGACAATCCATGTGCTTAATTCAGAATTTATTGTATTCAGTATCACAAATAGGCTGTATATTCCTACAAAAACATCTCACTATGTTATTGAAACTTGACAATGTTGTCATCCGCTCACAAAAGTCCAAATGGCAATTCCACGCATTGAAAAAGTGCAAAGAAGTATTAAGCATACTTTACTTATGTAATTTGAGCAATAAAAACCTGACATGGATCCTAAACGTTCCCCATTTTTCCAGTTTTTTTTCTAATGTCACATGCACAAATGGACCAACATTTCAGGGACACAGAGGTCCTCTTTATTAAGGTGACGATACAGAACATCCATATACAAATATATGACACACAGAAACACATAATATATATATATATAGTATTGCACTGCAGCATGTACTCCACAAACCGGATTTGGCTCTGCTGATCGTGGTGCATGAGTTTAATTGCCCGGTAGGGGACTTTGACTGCATGTACTTGATGTAGTCACTGTGGATTGTGCTTATTGGTTGGCTCACGGTTGCTACAGGAACTGTAAAAAGAAAGCAAAAAGAATGCGATGCTGCTTAGGGGTTGCTAAGAGTGGCCCATAAGATCATTAAAAATAAAAGGGTTCCAAGGATAATAGGTGTTCCTTATTAGTATGGTGAGTAAAATCCAAAGGTTGAGGCCAAAAAGAAACAAACATCTGACAATTTTTACAAATTTTCTCTACTGTACCCCCTAAAAACCTAAAAAAAAATGACTAGAGTGGGTTTGCATGAATCAGGATTGAAAATTGACTCTTCTTAATCTTCATATGAATGAAGGGTCATAAGGATAATGGGGGTTATTCACTAAAGAGCCAAAGAATCCAGCCGTAGCTTCGGCTGATCCTTTGGCGCGCTTTGGACACCTCTGCCCTTCGGTTCTGTCGAACCGAAGGGCTGCTGTACGGGCTATTGAATATAGCCCGTACAGCAGCCGAAGGCAGCCGATCGGCTCAGCCAAGCTGAAGGCATTTGCTTCGGCTTCGCTGAGCCGTAGTGACCCCTGAAACGTGGAGAAAGGTCGGCCGAAGCCAACCGATCTCCACGCAAATGACAGCTGGGCGGAGCCAGCTGTGATCTAACAGCTGGCTCCACCCAGTTGTAATGACAGATCACGTTCCCAAATGATCTGGGGACTCTGATCTGTCATTGAACAATCACAACTGGACAGAGTTGGCCGTGAGGTCACGATCAGCTCTGCCCAGTTGTTATTCATTGGCCGGGACCTGCTAGAAGACTCTGGCAGGTGCTTCATTTGTTTTTATTTTGCCGGCATCTGTCAGATGCTTCATTTTGCGGCAGGAGTTCGTCATGTGCGGTCAGGTTGGCATGCATTGTTTTTTAAAAAAAAATTATTATTTTCTTTAAAATATTTGTATTTTCCTATTTTTTTACATTTTTAAAATGATTTTTCAACTTTTTTTTCATTAATTTAATTGTTTTGCTATTCTGCTCGTTACCTCGAAGGTACCGAGCAGAATAGCCGAGCCGAATGCCGCTCGGCGGGAGTCGGCTATTCACTTACTGCCGTTCGGCGCCTATGAGAATAGGGGTGAACGGCAGTGAGTAAGCTATCGTAGCATCGGCTCAGCTTATCCAGATGTTGGATCGGCTGAGTCGAAGTCCTTCTGCACCGGCTCAGCCAAACATGCAGAGCATGTTCAGCTGACCAAAGGCAGCCAATGTACGGCTGATTTTAGCTGATGTACGGCTGAAATCAGCCATACAAGGCTGAAGTGAATAGCCAAACAGCGTTCGGCTCACTTCACTTAGGCTCGGTTATTCACTCAGCTGCCTTCGATGTTTGTCAAAAGTCCCTAAATTTCTGAGACTGTCTCAGGGTTTGGAAATGTGCCCCAGAAATGTTTGATTTCTTGTGTAATACCTGGCATGAAAACAATTAAAGGCAGGAGAAAAAGAAACCAAAAGAGTAAGTCTGGACCCAAAAGAAATGTAAATCCAATTACTAAAAAGTCATATAAGCTTTAACACGTTAATGTATTTTCAAAAGTTATTTTTAAAATGTGCAGATTTCATTAAAATATTAATATAATTATAATAATAAACCTGTCATGAAGGTCCTTGTTCAGACCATTCCTGTTAGCTAACTAAATGTCATTAATTGATGAATGATGGTTTACAGCTACTTTAATTACACTCCCAAGCTCAAGAAATGTTTAGGTTTTTTTTTTCCTTTTTTTCCCCTTACCTCTGAACAGCTACTGTATATAACCTGTTTTATGGCAGAACAACTACTGACCAGCACCCCCAGGGTATACATATGGCTCCACAGGTAAAACAAGTATGACTATGTAAGTAATGAGAAAACAATTATAAGATAGTTCCATTCTGAAAAGAAAGGGGGATCCCTGCTCTTCTGCATATGAATGCTACCTACCTCTGGGCTTTTCATGCATTACATATAGCAAAAAAACACCATACAACAAGCTTGATGCATATCTAAACCCCCAAAACAATATGTAATATAGTGCAGCTTGCAATCCTTAGATGAAGTCCCTGCTCTAGTTTTCTTTTGTCAGGCTTGTTTCCTTTAGTTTCAACTGGTAATCCTGCTAACACATGTCCTATCCTACATCTATGGAGGGAGTCATGGCTGCCACCCAGGATGAACTTCAACCATGTCTGGCTTTGTTCATCTTCATTCTATGGGGGAGTGCTTAGATTGGTGTACTTGCTGAAAATGTTCTCAGCCTATGAAAAAGGAAAACCAAAGGATCATATCTAAGGACTGGTAAACTGTAATATATTACATTTTTGTTCTTGGGTTTAGTTACCAGGTATTGACCATTTTTTTGTTGACATCATTTCTAATTTTGTGTAGGATTTACTTGGCATGATATCCATCAATTCTACACATTATGACCTGTAGGTCCTGCAGACCTTTCCAGGAGTACATGCTATACATTGCTAAAACTCCTTAGGCACAACCACATGTAGAGACACATTTGGGAGAAAGGTTGATTTATTATGCATTTTTGCAGGGGTTTAGTGGTGTTTCCTGGAACTCTTCTAGTACTGTGTTTCGGGTGTGTAGAAAATTGTCACACTTTCTACAATTAATCATAGAGTTGGCCCCAGGGAAATGGGAGGGGTAAGCTATTATACAAGAACTTAGCTCTTGATCTTGGTATCTCCCACTTGATTGAATTTTCCTGGCTGATGCTATGATCAGTATAATAGATGAAGAGCTACTATACCAGTTAGACCATGATGGAGCTCTGGATAAGCTGCTTCTGGTGTTCCACAGGAGAAGAGGGCGCTTGCCAATTACCACTGAGAACACAGAATAGCTGAGCATGCCTCACTGATAAGCAAGAACATGAAGTCACACTGCTATGCCCTATCTATCCAGTTTACCATGATTAATAGGAGGCTGAAATGACACCACAATATACCAGAAGGTATTTCTCACCTGTACAACTAATGCTGCTCCAGGAAAATAGTAAAAACTAAAAATTCCAATTACATAAAAGCTGATCTGTAGCCAACCCAACAAAGATATTTATATATCTTATGGTGAGTATGAATGTTGCCCATTGTATTTACTACCTGTGAATTCCAATTGCATTTGACATTATTGCATGCACCCCATAAAGGACAACAGGAGAATGTGTGTGACCACTCTGTGCAGAAGCCGTTGTGAGATAAAACAGTGCAGCCATAGGCATGCCCCTATCTCTCATTAGATTTGCAGAACATATGATAGGTGTTACTTAGCAGGCGAGACATGGTTCCTGAATTCCTTTTTGCAGGCTAGTGTCTGTATTACCAACTGCATGCAAACATCAGCCATCTAAACACCAGGTGACTGCTACACTGCTCTAGCCTCATCAATCGCATCCCTCATTTTATGTTGTGTCTCAGTGACAGGAAGCAAGGGATCATTTCCTTTATGGGGGCCCAGACAGAAATAAAAACCTAGTATAAACAGGAAGAGGTGCAGGCTGCTGGACTACTATTCCAAACAGTTGCTTCATTGGAGCCCAGGTCTGGAGGCTAAAGGATGTGTGTTCTTCTAGGCAGCTCTCCAAAGAATGATACCATAGGACAGCCTGTATTTCATCTAGACAGGTGGGGGAGGAGATAAACACCTGACAAGTCTCTGTAAAATCCATAAAATGGATTTTATTAGAAGCAACATTTAATAAAAGCCATTGGGGGGAATTTATCAAAACTGGAGCAGACAAAATCTGGAGCAGATTTGCACTGCAGCCAATCAGCTTCTCTCTTTTATTTTCAAATCTTACCTAGGCAAACTGAAGAGACATGCTGATTGGTTGCCATGGGCAACTGCTCCAGAATCTGTTTGCTCCAGTTTTGATAAATTCCCCTCAATGTGTTTCGGGGGCTCAGAATGATCCCTCTTCATCAGGTTTGAAGATCACTCTGAGAACATAAAATATTGATCTCCCTTTTGGGGGGGGGCCAAACAGAAATAAATACCTAGTTTAAATAGGAAGAGGTGTGGGGTGCTAGACCACTATTTTAAACAGTTGCTTCATTGGACCCCATTTCTGGAGGCTGTAGGATGTGTATTCTTCCAAGCAGCTCTCCAAAGATTAATGCCCTAAGCCAGCCCGTATTTCATATAGAAAGGTGTGAGAGGAGAAAAGCATCTGAAAAGTATCTGTAAAGTCCATAAAACAGATTTTTTACAAACAATTAGACCTGTACAAGGCAAAAAAAAAAATTGTTTTCTGACGAAACAAATGAAAAGAAAAAACTTTTTAATTTGTTTTGTCAAAGAAAACAAATTTTTATGCTGTTTCGGATTCGGAGGCAACGAGCCTCTGAATCCTAAACCGAACACTGAAACTGCAGAACAAGCGGCAGCCATATCGGCCACCGTCATGACACTGCCATCTTTGAGAGTATCTTGGTATACTCCAAGATGGTCGCGCCCACATGTCTGTGACGTCGAGCGCTGCGCCCCTCCAAGATGGCGGCGGGCATGCGCAGAACACGCCGGCGGCCATTGGCCACCGTGCATTCTCAAAACTAATTTATGTATGCCCCAAATATAGTTTTTGTTTATTCGGGCATATAATAAATTAGTTATTTCAGATTCAGACGAACCGCTGAATCAACTGAATTTCGTTGATTTGCAGGTTCATCTGAATCAGAATGCACATGTCTAGAAACAATGTTCAATAAAAGCCAATGTGTTTCAGTTGCTCAAAATGATCCCTCTTTATCAGGGCTGAAAAACACTCGGAGCAAAGCAAAAAAATTATCCTGGACTTGTGGCGCATAATAAGTTACCAAAATAATATTTTCTTTCTTCTTTACAATACCGGTTTTAACAAACTGATTAAAAGAATTTTATACAAACCTGACAGAAATGTTAACTCTTGACTACTCTATCCAAAACTAAAAAAAAAATGGCAAGTTTTGAAAGCTGGACATTCACAATCCTGCAACCATGAACCATAGTAGGGTGGTGGCTGTCATAAAAACCAACCCTGCATTTTCTTCACATACAAAGCTGTTTCAAATATAATATCTAAATAAAAAAATAGGATGAGGTAGGAAGAGCTTTTACTTCAATGCAAAACCAAAAGGCTCTTGACCTTCCAAAAGAAAATGCAAAAAAAAAAAAAAAATT